TATTCTACCTCTAAGACAGAATAATGAATACCTGAAACAATGTTTATATGTTAATACTGTCATATCGTTTCCAGTAAATAAAATTTTTAAAGTATGCAAATTTACAGTAATCAGCTATGTAAATCTTTTTGCTCAGTACAAATATATTCTTAAGGCTTTCCAAAGAAATACATTCCCATTTGCTTTTTCAAATACCTCCTTCGACTTACATTCAGATTTTAACATTACTCCCATTAGAAAGACAATATCTGAAATCTGAAATATCTGAAATGAACTAGCAATGTTAAGCAAGATATCTGTGAAATGCTTGAACATTTTTTTAATTGGCTTTTTGACATTTAAGATCTCAAAGACACTGATTCAGAGAGCATTTGTCCAAGCATCTTAAGATTACAGTTGAATTTTATGAAATTCACTATGCAGATAGTGATTTTTCTGAAACAATTGCATCAATACCTCTTATAAATGCAATTATCTATAGCAACTACTCACTCTGAGATTTTCTTTTGCTTTTAAAGCATCTTACCAAGCATGAGGTAGGACATAGTACAGCATGGTAGGCAAGAGGATTGCTGTGGTCAATCACAGCACGGACTCTAGTCTTAATTAGAAATAGCTAGTACAATTAAAATGACAGCTGTTTTCTAGCTGGAATAGAATCATAGAATCATAAAGATTAGAAATGACCTCTAAGATTATCTAGTCTGACTATCAAACAATAGGTAAGACTATCTTAGCTAAGGCTGTTATTTCCCAGTTTAAAACAACTAAACAATTTAAAACATTACAACTTGTGTCCTACTTGCAAGTAGAACTACTGTGGAAGGTCTCATGACTTGTTTGAGACCAAGACCTTAAGTTTATCTTCTTATTACACTTAATTGTACCTCCTCCTTGCACTGCTGTTTTCACAAGCTAAGTTTAGGACTATAAAATGCTTAAAAAATGCCATATAAGGTCACTTTCATTTCAAACAACTCTGAGGTAACAGGCCTCTCTGTGCCCTTATACTTTGGACTCTGTTCAGGAGAATTCCTGTGCTTTAAGAAAAGAATTTGCACAAACAAGCAATCTACTTGTGCTGGGAATCTGATCATGCCCAATAAATAAAGATTGCATTTTCTCACTGGTGGCTCCGTCTGCTTTCAGAATAAATCAAGGTTTGTGTTTATACACAAAGAGAAAAACATACACTCCCGTTTACACAAACTATTTTTAAGTAAGGAGAGCAACAGAGGACTTTCAAAGAAAAAACACAACACAACACGTTTGGCTATTACACAGACCGCTTCTGTCTCCTCAGAATGATATATCTTTTAATCTTCACAGAAAAAGAATTTAGATAAATGAGACAGAATAGGGAGTATTTTCAGAAAATGAAAGCTCAAACACCTGATGAACTCATTTTAAATTTCCTGTTTGGAGTGGTAAATCTGTAAGGATCACCTGTGTGGTAACACCCTACAGAGTAACTTTTTGGGAATATTTTCTCCTTTGCCCACAATGCCACTTATTGAACAGCGTACAGTACTGCCTAAGTTGGGCAACAGCCTTCACCCCCATCAAGCACTAACTCATTTTGTTATATGCTTGCCCTGCAACAGAGCAATAACCAATAATTACTTTTACATGTTCCTTCCAAGCCAGCGCAGCTATATTCACCAAACTGCTTTTTCTGACTACTTTACCAGAAAGAGAGGAAAAAAAAAGAAGTGCAACATGAAAATAAACCACCAACATTGCAAGGCAAATATTCAAAATGGGTCACTGATGAGTAGAAGTCCAGCTTGAAACAAGGCTGGGTCCTAATTTCCATTAGTTTTCAGAATATGAAAGATAAAATCAAAGGGCATATTGCATATTCTGACTTTTACAACTACAGTGCAAGTTTCAATACCTCAGCTTCAAAATAGAGCTAGAGACACAGCAGACTGCATAATTCAGAACATCTCAGAACCCTGGCAAATTCCTCTGCCTCTCAAAATTTCAGCACTGCAGCCAAGCATGAGGAGCAAGTCACAAAACAAACATCATCAAGAAATATGTCCTTTTCTTCCACATAAGAATGTCCATGGTAAGAGAGTACCATGCTCTCACACATTTAAAATGTCTGTGTTAGCGTTAAGAGTTATGCCATCCTCTGGTCAATGTAGAAATACTAATAGCTTTTTACAAACCTATTTCCTATTCATTTAGGACAATCTCAGTCATATATACTTTTAAGCCAAAGTTACATTGGGAGATCTCCATGAATCACTTCTTTCTTATTTATCATTTCAAATATTTTCTCTACTTATTTCTTCTAAGAAAATATCACAACTCAGCCTCTGGAAATTATTTATCTCTGCAATATTTTTGTTCTTTCACTACTACCTTTTTGTGACTAGAATGACTCACTTCTGGCTCAATTATTAGTGTTGACTGGACCCTCTCTATCCTAAAAACAGAAACAGGCAGAGTGTGTTGTTGGAATCCTTGGCTTTGTTGCTGCCCTTCCCCACTACTCCGGCAGAGCCAAGGGGAAATCCTGGGCAGCACTGAGCCAGCTCCTGGAGCCCTGTGCCACCACAGCACATGCATGCACATAACTTCCACTGCACACAGTTTGGTCACAGTGTTCAGTTTTTCTGTGACCCAGTAAAAATCCTCTTGAAGTGAAAAGAACTTTCATTTCTGCATTGATTACAGGGTGTCAAGATCTTTGTGAAAATTTGATGGTCTAGTTTTCCTTGTCCATTCTACTGACCAGAGTGAGTAACCTATGATATCAGAAAGCTGGATAAGACGCAAACTAGTGCACTTGATAAATACACTGACAAATACAGAAACACGTAAACTCATGTCAACCATTTTGTCTTTCGAGAGAGAGCCCCCCCTCATCCCCCCCACTGAGGCCTCAAGAAGAATGAGCTGCCTATCCTCCACTTTGAGTGTAATCCTACATATAAAGACTCCCTCCTTTAGCAAACAACAACACTGCTTCAAAACTGCGCAAGAGACCAGTGCAGAATCCTACCACATTCCTTTCTCTGTCTTTGTGTTCCAGGTTCATGGAACTACCACCATGATGACAGAAGAATTCAATATGAATGTGTAGCATAGCAGAGTGATGTTTCATTATGAAAAATCAGTCTCCACATCATTTGGACAACCCTGTTGTCAGCTTTCTGTTTTGTGAAATACAACTCATGCAGCATAGTCTCACATTATAAAACCATGTGTATTGCATACACGTGTTCTTCTTTCAAAAGTAATATTTGCTGTTTCACTTGGTTCTCACAGTACGTTCAGAAATACTTTGTACTTGAAAATATACCTTATACAGTAATACTGAACACAGATTGCATAGGGTGTGAAACCATTGAGTACCTGAACACAAGCTGTTTATTCAGCAGGTTTAATTCTCCAACAGTCATTCATGGAAGCAAGATTTATATGATCATTTGAGTATCTTCACACTTTACTGAGAAATTCCTTCCACGCTTACTCTTTTACACATACGTGTTTCTGAAATAGTTTGGATTAATGTTGCACTTATCTCTTTTTCAATCGGTATCCTTCTGTGACTTCATATTCTCTGAAGTCTTTCTGAATTACTAGGCAATGGCTTAGAATCAGATGTTTTTAAGGCTGTAAGGCTGTAATTCTGCCAATTTTACTGTCTATAATTGTTTAATTTCAGATACAATGTCAATGATGTCAAGGAGACTAGTTGCAGGGTAATGTACAATATCCATTGGCAGTAAGGATGACAGATTTGGGTCCTGACTGCTTTCCTCAAGAGGGTTTACTGCAATGAAGATATTTTTGTTTGACGGGTTTATTGTTTTAGATGTAATAATTTACGATACTAATGCACTCATCCCCTGCAGTACCACACTATGGATTCAAAATCCATATGGACTGAAGTTCATCAAGAAAGTACAATGGATTTCTCAACATGCTGTGTTTACATACCACTTTGTTTTCAGCATGGAAAACACATTATACCTGTGCAGAAGACTAAAAACATTGACTTTGTTATCTTGTATAACAGAAGGATCTCCAGATATGTACATGTCTTCTTAATTTACCTTAATTAATCTTCTTTAATTTATAAATTGTTCAACTGAACGTTATAAAGTTTAAAGACATTAACTGCAGGATTAGGGATATTCAGACGAACATTTGAGAACTGACAAGATGAAAGGTGTCTCATTAAATATATAAATAGAAACATTAATATACAATACAAAATTATAAACAATTCATTTTCAGTAATAAGCTGGGAATTCATGTATTATCATTCTATTTTGATGCTAGTCACAGGTATCACATTATCAATCTGCTTCATCTTAATCTGTGGAAGGCATTCTGTGATACAGTATTAATATTTGCTTCCAGGAATTAGCAAAAACTTAATGATTACAATGACAGAGAAAAGTATTTCGATAGGTATTGATTTCATATAGAATAAATATTGATTACAATAGAATAAATGATAAATCGATTAAAATTCAACAACTGTCATAATGCTTTATCTCAAGCTCTTAAACTATTAGTGACCATGGCAAAAATAATGTATAAGCAAATGATAAGAAACCAGATTGCATAGATTTTAGAATTACTGTAGATGTTCCTGTGTTCCTGACTAAATCATGGTGAGTATAAACAAACACGTTGTCTTTCTTTCTGTCAAACATGAGAGATTTCATCACTGTCTTCCACTTGTGAGGCTGGAAGACAGAGGAAAGCTAAAGTTCTTGAAAGGTATTTCAAGATTATTAATCATGTTTTCAATAGAAATCATTTTTCAGAAATCTCCATATCTCTCCTCTGTAACTCAGGTAATTAAGAGTTCTTAAAAAATTCCAGTTTGAAAATATGTAGAAGAAAGTTGTTTCCATAATATTTCCTGGCTTCCAATGGATTGTTAGTAAATATATAAAGCAAGTCACATGCTGACCATGTGCAGCTTATAAACAGTAAATGAATGATTATTGTTACTCTGTTTTCCTTACCTCCTTTTTTAGGATGTCTTAAGGGACTTGACTGATGGTCTGTGATTGACTGAGATTGGCTAATTAATTGTGAATCACTCATTTTGAACGTATTTTTTACAGTAAAGGAAGAAGCAGCAATCTCATCCCAATCCTTCTGGAATAAAGAAAGCTGTTTTAGGCATTCAAGAAACATGCTGATTTCACTCTGCCATGATAACTTGTAGCTGTGATCTCACAGAGAGCAACTTTGTATTCTTCACAACTCTTTGAGAAATGGCTAATGTGAGATTAAAGTTACACAAGATTCTTGTGGCTTTCAGCAGTACTGGCTTAGCATCCATGTCACAAACATTTGTTTATTTTTCCATTTAACTTATTTATCCCCTTTCCTCATGCAGTTAAATCGTAGCATGCACTGTATGCTGATTTCCTCTCATAGTTAATTTGTATCTTTAGAAAAAAGCTATAGGAAGGTATTAATCTGCTTAACATTTCTAAGTACATCATCCAAGGGATTTTGTTTTTTTAATCTTACATATGCTCAGCAGAGTTACTGGCAAAAACTGTACATTTTCTCCATTTCATCCTTTCAACATCAAATGGTAAGCAGCAAAAATTGGATCAGACTTCAAAGACTATGCTGTGCTCCAAGTCACAGAGCGACTCCTCCATTTCACATATTGAATTCGAGCAGGATATCAAAGTGCTACCAAAGAACCTCAGGTCCTTACTAAAAAAGAGGCTCTAACATCTGTAGAAAGTGAAGTGCACAGACAAATCACCTCAGGGAGCTGCTAGCATTTATTCTCAGCAGCAAATTTCCAGCCTTTTGATTCTCTTATTCGCTGTACCTCCCTGTCTTTCTACAGAACTAAAGTTCTTAGCAAGCAGGCTTTTGTCTCAAAGACTTCAAAACATTACTAACGGTTTCATGTTCGGATGGTGATGCCAAGCAGCCATGAACACACTGCAGAACTGAGGACTCAGGAATTTGAAGTTACAATGCAACACTATTTTAGAATACAAACTTAGCAGTACCTTTTTTGTTTGTTTGTCAAGAAAATCAGGCACGACAGGAGAAGACTGGTTACTTGTTTGCTGCCTAAAAGCAAGATTAAAAAAAAAGGTAGTTTAAATATTGTAATTTCTTCATTCTCATAAAAGGCTCACTGGCATTGTTGATGCTCTTCCCCTTTCCCCCTCCCCCAGACACTAACTATGCACATATGATCAACTCAGAGAAAACACAGACCGGTCCCATTTCCTTTTATAAGGAAGTGCATGTTATTAAACACGGTAACTGGCTATGAGCAATAAATTTGTCATTAAAAAAATGTGGATATGTGTATGTGAAAAGTGAGTTTATGAGGATTCTATGAGATTGAAGTAACTTGTTAAAATTAATTTTACAAGATTTAACGTGAGATATTTTTTTCCTTTAGAGGCTGTGAAGAGCCGTTTTTCACACAGAAATTCAAACTTGTTCTCTCAGGAAATTTGACAAAGAAGGAAGAAGTGAGACAAAGGGCTTCATGCTCCCCTAAAACTGTTTGGGTTAGGTAACAGTTCTTACATTAACTTTGTCTGTACCTTTTATTATTTTACCATACAAATATTAAAGGTCAATTTCTCCTCTCATTAAAGCTAATAGAAGTATCATAAAATCTTCTGTAAGCTCTGCTGCTTGCTGGCAGACCTTTGAAGTAAATAGATTTTCTCAATCCTAAATTCTATCCAGAAAAAAACTTTGCTCCAGAATCTTTAGTCATGCAAAATCAAAAAATATTCTACCAATTTCTTTCAAGAGATAACAAAACTGAGGTATGTAAAGATTATTTGATAAGCTCACGATCCTATAACTGGGATTAAAAGCAAGACTTTCTATTTGTCAAAACTTGCCTCAGCCATTACATCATTAATCACCAGTACCGTCAATCTTTCTGAAAATACAGTCAACTGCAGTTGTATTTCAATGGAAACACATGGAATGTAAGCTTCAGTCATAGATTTCAGATTATGACATACATCATATATTTTTTTTCATGGATAGCAAAAGGCTTTTTCAGGCAGTAAGTTTTTTCAGTTTAACTTCTATTTATTACAACTGAACACCTTTCCGCCTTTTCAGTCACAGTGGGGAAGAGGAAATAAAAAGGACAAAAATTGCTTCACTGAGTAAAAGAAAATACAACTTATGTTACCTCAAATTTCATTTTTGTCATTACTTATATGCTGAATATAAAAGACTCATATAAAAATAGAACAACACATTGAACTCTAAAAACCTGTCTGGACACATGCTCAATTTACCTTTTAAAATGTAGCTTCTAAAAACACTTCAAACTGAAATGACATGACTGAGGACTTGAAACATTCTAGACTATTAGCTATTGGATATGAAAACAGTACATCACCACATGCATGCATCAGCTGATATGTTTATTCTAGGATATCCACAGAGCTTACTGAAATATTTAAAGCCTTACATTGCAATAGAGTTTAGGCTTTTAGATCAGTTTTGTCTGAATGTGTTATGAAAGCTTGAGGGGTTGCTTGAATTGTTTCAGACTTGATCACACCAATAAAGACAGTATCACGGTAGTCAAAAAGCTATTTTGGTTGAGCAGAAATAATAGGAAGTATCCATGGACATGGACAGAGCAAACATCAAGTTTTTCTGGAATGTTGAAATTTTGTGAATGAAGTTTGGATTTGCTTGTTGGGTTTGAGGCTTTTTTTTTCCATTATTCACTGACGTTATGAAAGTAAAGGAAAATATTCTGACTAAGCTGTAATTCATATTTAATGTTGTTTTCCTAAGGATGGAGGGATCCATTTTGAAAACACACTCTAATTTGTACTGGGACACTTCTTATACCGAAAAGAATAAAAATTTTTGAGGACTGTATTTGGCCTTGCATTTGAACATCTAGCACATTGTCTGTAAAGTTCTTTTTTACTGTTTCACCTGTATGTATTCTCTTATACTTAAATAACTACTTAGCAGGATTATTTAGATAACTCGCTGATTTCTTTCAAAATTACTCAAGTATTTATTGAGATGATTCTTCTCCACCTCCCCACACTGCGGAAAATATACCCAATATAATCTAGAAATAATGAATAAACCTCAATTATTTCTATAAGGATGTCAAAATCAAAATCTGCTCTAGAATCAGTATGCTGTAAATGGACCAAATTGCAAAATAGAAACAAATCATGATCTAAATTCAATATTTCTGGTTTTGGGGTGTTTTCAATCTGGATCTAAATTTGCAGCTTGGATTAATCTCTACATTCTATAAATAATCTAGAGTTTAGTATGGTTTTGCACTTCTGCTTTGCAAGAGCTATAGCATTATCCAAATGTTTAAAACATGAAGGTTAAGTTCAGCAATTTGCCTTCTCTACATCATAAGCTAACAAAAATCAACCTCTGGAATTTTGATGCCTTAGAATCTTGATTTTCTATCAGGATCCCAATGACATCATGTTTTTCACAACCAACCAGAAAGCCACATGATGTGTAATTCTGCATTTCTGCATGATAAACTCTGCAAGAGAACCTTTGGGGATGTTCAGGAATGCATCAGTAATGTGCAGTAGTAAGAACAGCTAGTAGTTTCCTGTGTTGTATTATATGATCCTCACTTTCTTTATCTATGGTCAAACTGCAACAGCATGTATGCTTAAATTCTGTCCACAGACAAGCCTTCTATGACTTTTGTTGGGTTCCATTAGAGTTACAGAAGCATTGGAGAAGATGCAAAAGTCTTTAAGTCCTGAGTACTTTTAATGGTACATTAAAATAACTGAATTGAAATAAAATACAAGTTCTTGCTCAAGAACATACTAATGGAGATCAGATCATTGACCCCATAAACTCAGTGGCAAATAGGAAATTACATAGAACCAGAGAGCACTTGTTTTCACTTGGTAGAAGATAATGCAGAGATACAGATGCTGTTTCCAGAGATTAGTTCAAATTAAGACAATTCAAATGCAACATAAATGCAGTTAAGCATCAGCTAGTTCATATGAGTGATTGGGTGTTGGTGGCTAACATCTGAAAATGTGGCACCTGAGGATGTGCGGGATATTTTCAGGTATCTTTGATGAAACTATTTTCACCATGGTGAAAAAAAATTTTTACTTGCCACATTTGCAAGACAGCAGTGTTTGGGTCAAACAGATGACCCAAATGTCAGCACATTTACCTGGAAAGTTCACAAGAGATCCAGCTTCGTGTGCCTGGTTTTAATCAGGGAAAACAGAAATTTGCTGCTGAATATTCACCTAAACTGTCATACCCATGTAGTTTTTCCACTTTATCATCCTACCTCAATTGTCTAAGTCTCATCTGAATGTAAAGAGTTTTACTAAAATAAAAACTGTATGAGTACACACATGCTGACCAGTCAAAGCTTTGACTAGCTAAGTAGAGAAATCTGTAGGAGAAAAGTCACAACGATTGTGAGTCAAGAAAAGTAATATTGATATATTGATGTCCATCCAAGTGCCATTTTCCTCTAAGCACTTCGAAATTCATAACATAGCATTTTTTAGTGTTTTATACACATTACAGTACTGGAAGTTTTTTTTTTCTTTTTTTTTTCTTTCTTAATAGATCTTTGAAAAAGTAACAGGCTGTTATATATCCTGTGCATACAACAGAAAAGATCTTTATGTGATTTTTCTTTTGTATCCTGAACACTTTTCAGCTCCTTTTATATTTTTCAAAACTACTAACTAGAAAGCAAAAGAAATGAAAAGAAATGAAAGGAAATGAAATGCAAAGAATATTTTATTATTCAACAAATCAGTTCAATGGTATGTGAAGCCACAGTGAGGTTGCCTTGTCTAGAGATAGATTACAAGGTGCTGTGTTAAACATCTGCACTATTATTCACCTCTATTTCTTACAAGTTTTTTATACGACTGAACAGCCATGCATTAAAACACAAACCCCCCAAACAGCTACTGTAGAAGAGAGCCTTGATTTATGGGAAGGAAGTTATCAGATTTAGACCTAAGATTCTGAACATCACCTGTGAAATGCTCAACATTTTCAAGTCTCACTGAAGTCACTGGAACCTGAGGCCACTGCAGGGAAATTGTATAGGATTAGGCAAATAAGCTGGAAAATTTGTTGGGTTTAAACTGAGAATTGCCAGTAGTAGTGGCAATTTAGCAGCTCCAGGCAAAAAAGGTACGAGTTTTATTACCTGATTGTGTACAGCAATCAGGAGTGCATGCAAGAACCGAATAGCGAATGTTTTTTATGTGGGCATCTTCAACCTAAATATTTAAAGGCATTTAAACACTGATTTCAATATAAATTCATTGTCTGAATACCTTTGGAAATCTGTATCTTTGTGCTCCATAAAGCCCAAATTCACCTCAACAGCTACAGATCCATAAAATGCTAATGAGCCTCAAGGGATGTACAGTTGAGAAAACTGTATCTAATCCACAAAGATACATTAGGAAAGCAACCAGGAATTCCAGAAACAATCTAATGTAGAAAGGGAAGAAAATATACAAAACAGATGAAGAAAAGTTTAAAGAGGTTGTGAGCCTCCAAACAAGTTCAGGTGAAAGCTTCAAAACACTGAATAAGACAAAATACTTATTTACATTGTATTTTAATTTTAATTTGGGTTGCCAGACAGAATTGACAACAGACAGGTTATAGGCTCTGTCTTAATGCCATTGGTGCAGACTGGAGAGCAAATAGCTATGAATAGTTCTAAAGAGATCACAAGATAGTTCCCCTTTTAAATACCTAACAGACAGAGGCTGCTGCACACACATGAAGGGAAAGCAGAATCACAAAACATGTTGACTCTGTAAGCTGTGAGGAGACCGAAGGACAGAGATATGACAGTAAACTGTAGTGTGTCCATTCTTTTCCCTGAATAACATTACCAAAGAACTATATATACTTTTTTTTTTTTTTTTTTTTTTTTTCCTTTTCTACCAGCCTGAGCCTTGTTTATTTATTCATTTATTTATTCTGAAATCAGACTATTGCAAGGGAGACACTCTGGAATATTATTAACCTGAAAGGATGCAGGAGGTGATTACACCTGGACAAAATCGTTTCATGCATTGAAGCATTTAGCAGACGTTATTCAATATAAAAAAAAACAAAGTTCACATGGAAATTAATGTAACTCAGTATTCTGAAAATATGCAGAGAAAGCTGAAATACTTTCTCAGAGGAAGAGTCAGTGTAATTAAAAAAATTATAACAACAACAACAACAAAAACAACAAAGCAACTTTCTCAATGGATTAATAGTGTCTAGTTGCATTCAAGCACGTCACTGATTTCATCAAAGAACTCATAAGAGGTGTAGCAGGACCTGCATTTGTGTGCTGTGTAGAAAGACTATAAATTAACAGAAATAAGAACTGGGATAAGAACTGAGATTTCCTGATGTCTATTCCGCAGCAAGGGGCATCTCATAGCTCTTAGTCACCAAGATCTGCTGATCAAAGGGATTCCTTCAGCCAGCACCTCTCCTACAACACTGTAGGAGAGACAGACAAACAATAGGTGGAGCAGTTCCCTTCTATATGCAAGAAAGAGCAGGGCAATATTTGACTGAAATGACTCCTGTAGTAAGGAAGATCAAAATATTTTTCCTCTACAAAGAAGGAGGCACCACTGTTAAGGTTTACAGCATGCCTAGGCTGTCAGTGACTTGGCCATCTACTTTTTGCAAGTCTTTTCCCTTATTACAACTCTGCATGGAGCTCTACAGACACAAAAGGATACACTTCTACTCTCAAAAATCATGCATTGCAGCCAGTTCTGAAATGCTGTCTGTGGTTAGGGGTATTCTGTGTACTTCTGAGAAGACATCAATCCAGGGCAAACAGTACTTCAAATAAATCTCACTTCTTTACCTGGTAGAATACTGAGATGACTATGCTGGTGGGGGGACTGCTTAACCTACAGGTGATCATCTTCAGAAAATGGCAAGCTCCTTAAGCGCCAACTGAGTCATAATGACATGTCTGCTCCTTTCAGATTTTACTGTGTGCAAAATCACTTCTGTAGATAACAGACAGGAACGGATTCAACTCACCAGTGCTCTTCACAGTCAATATCAGAAGTAGAGCAGCTGCTCATACGTTGAGAATCTGCTACATAGCCAGTGCTCTTCTTCAGTCTTGGGTAGTTTTTGCGAACAATATATCCCCTGAAAGCTAAAAAACATAGTTACGAATCAGAGAAAAACTCTGCAGAACCTGAAACACAGATTGGCATTTGTCTCTGGAGTCCAGAGCTGAATGCTCTACTACTGGAACATCTAAAATCTGGATTAATGTTGTATGGGATGTAGGATATGGGTTGTGGGACACAGAGCAACCTCACACAGGATTAAAATAACAGAGTAGGTAACATTGGAAAAGCAGGAGGTGGAATAAATAGAGAACATAGTAAAGAATAAATTGAGAACGAAGAAGTTGACAAAAAGATCATCTCATGCCTGATATTTTGTAAAAACAACAAAAGTGTTCCCTACACAAAAGAGGAAAAAATGCAGTACTTGGAACCTATCATTATTACAAAATTATGGAATCATTTTTTATTCATTTCTCCTTCCATTTAATGACGCTCAGAAACTTAACTCAGCATTCATCCTTTCTTTTTGCATAAGGAAAAGATAGAGGAAAAAAATAAAACTATCCTGATCTCAGCTGCTGCTCTTTCCATAGGATGTAATGTAATCAATCCCTTCTTCTCTATTTTAATTTGTGTTATTGACTTTCTTTCCAGCCATCACAAAAATGTGCATTTCTGCACTTTTATGTGCAATATACAAAAAAAAAAAGCATCCTAACCATTCAAGCTGTGGTATGCAATGCACCATAACAATCTAACATTTTCAATGCTACTGATGTTTCCAGTGTAAGAAGCAGCAAAATTTGCCTTTTAATGTGGGATTACTAAAATAAATAACCATTCCCTTTACAGAAGGCATGACAGAAGCTGGGCCTGCTGAGGTTTTGTTCTGAATACTGAGCTCAGGTACCATGAGGCTGAGCAACTTTCCACCCTTAATAATGAGACTGGAAAAGTCTGCCTATCTGGCAGAGATGAGGCGAGCGCTCTCTTGCCCCATGTGATCAGGCTTCCAATTCTTAACTATCCCCCACTGACCAGACAAGGAACCTACTCTGCTATTGGCAGCAAAGACAGCTGGCTGGCAGCCATCTTTCTGCAGCTCAAACACGCTGAGCAACAGTCAGTATATGGACTACTGTAAAGATAAAGATGCACTGAAATAAATGAACTAGTAAGATAGGCATCATTTTTCTCTCTAGTAATTTCTCAGCTTTCAGCAGTTGCTTTGCAAGTGTGTGTGCATGTGTGTGTATAAAACCACCCCCATACCTCTACGATTTTTTTCTGCCAGATACTTACTAATGACAGTATAACTATTTTTTGTCTTTCCCTCATTCACTACGCACAATCCGCTTTATTTCATTTTGCAAACTCCATTTTTACTCTGAATTCTGTTTTCGTAAATAATTTCAGGATCAAATCCTCTTCAACGGAAATCTTTCTTAAGCTGGCTTCTAACATTCTTCTAGAATATCTCTGATCATACAGGTAAATGACTGTGCTTATCCTGCTTTCCCATTGACTCACAGGACAACTGAAGTAGAAGGGTAAACAAACATTTTTCTGTCTCACAAGCTTCATCGAGAATTAGTAGAATTGCATCTTTTCAGCATTTATTAACTGGATCTATAACGTTTCAAAGGAAATGCATATGCAGAGAATTCTACTGGGGGAGCCAGAGAGGTTGAGAAGCTGTTCCATCATGGCAATTTGCATTACTGACTGGTGCTGGTTTTGACACTAAGCACTTGGCTCAAAGAGTGTGAAATTAGCAGACTCATGTTGCTAGTGCTCCACGAACAATCACTGCATCATTGAAGAAGAATGATTACCAGCTGTCACCTCATTTTCACCTTATGCATTCTATATTCCAAACTTTACAGCAACAGTATCTCTAACCCTGATCTTTACATAACCAACCATAGCAGGACCTAAACTCAAAGCAACTTAGGAACATAGGAATTTTAGAACTTTTATCTTAATAGTTAACTTATTAGAGCTAAGCATTTTCTGTGACACCACTGAGGACACGACTTTTTACATTACTTTTGACTCAAAGTGATCACTCTGCCAGTTCCAGCATGCAGCAAACAAAGAACATATTTACCACAGGGAGCCGGAGATTTGGCATACTGCAGTTAAAAATCTTTATTTTAAGGTCTAAGCACTGAGGCATTTACATTGCATGCAAAGTTACACAATTCCAAATAGCAAAAATCCAGGCATTTTCCCTCTTATTCCTATTGGAAATATACAGTTACAGATTGAGTTGTGAAGCACAATGTAGAAAGATCAAAGCTAAATAATCATAGGTCTGTACCTGAGGCATGAAGAAAGGAGATGAAGTACTATTTTAAAACAGCAGAGGGATTAATTCTCAGTTGTAAGAAATCTTGTTAAAAAAATATTTCTATATACACATTTTTAAGATATAACTTAAAATAGTACATAAGAACAACTTTCGAACAGAAAGCTCATATTTGCTAAATAGAAGGTGTCATGATTGTTTGTAATCAGAAATTGATTTGCTACAAACAGCATATGACCTTCTTAATTTGCCTAGATAAAAGAGCATTCAGCACCTTAACTACTAACATCAGAGGTGATTTGGAGCCCATAAATCTGATTTTTTGCTTCATGCCAAATTAATTCCACTGAACAGTAAAAAAGATAGGAAGTCATGTCCTTTGCTAAGTCCCATGAATACTTCCCCTCTTTCACCTCTCAGTCTAGGTGCATCTTGGGTGATGAATGCTTAGTAGCAGGAAAAATAACTGATGTCCTATATTCTCTGGCAGAAGCATTACAAGAAAGCAGGACTCGTTACTGATGCACATCATCACTTTGATGTATGGATTTTAATTTTTGTGCATTGCACTAAAAAGTTCTATCTCGAGACTTGGTGAAAAAAAAGAAGTGTGGATGACTCTGAAACTGATTATCAACATCAGTAATGACAAGAAAGAAGTATTCCCAGGTCTCTTGTCCCTTCCTGATTTTACCAAGGGTATGAATGGACAGGAGAAAAAAAAAGAAATACAAAAAAAAGTAGAATTATTCACACAAATATTAGCTCAGAGACAGAGATAAAATACAAGACCTCATCCTTCAAAAAACTATTAAGGCCATCTCACTTTTGTTAACATGTTCCCTGCATATGAGCAGCAGGTTTTTAATGATTACTTGGTGTACTAGAAGTGAAGACTGACTGAAGCTGGTACAGAAGCTGGTACAGAAGCTGGTACAGAACATAAAGTTAAGTAAGGCTGTGCAGCCTCTACAAATACATCTGAATGTGAAATCAAGGTAATACAATGACTCAGCTACCATTAAAAGAAACGTATCTCTTCAGAGGTTCTTATCCTGAGAATGCTGCTAAAAGGAAGATGAATGACACAAAATAAGGCTGTATCTGTTACTTACTGCTTGTTGTTTTCAGGAATGATAAAAAATAGATGCATTTCTAGATATAATAATGGTGTGCTTAGCAGTATTTGGAACATTTTAATCACATAATTCATATAACTTTACAAGATTACTTGCTGAATACATGTAGACGCACGTACATACAAATTGACAGAAAAAATAGGGTTTTCAAGAAATGCTTCCTTTGCTGAAAAAAATCCTGAAGGTAAAATTTTTATTAAAAACTTACAGTTATTATAAATATGAAATAGTGCATTCCAGCTGTTCTCAAGCATTTAAAAAAAAAATAATAATAATAAAAATAAATTTCACCTGAAGCCCAGGAAAAATATGCAATTAGTGAGATACACAAACACTGCATGGGAAGAAGTTATAGAAAGCATTTTGCAAAACATTTTTTTCATCTTATTTCCTTCTGAACATACATCCCCTTTTTTAAAAAAAAAAAAAAACAACTTTTTTTTAGCTTAAAAAAAAAAAAGGAAAAGAAAAAGAAAAAGAAAAAGAAAAAAAAAAAAGAAAAATAAAGAGTTGAATTCTGCTCTTTTTTCTTGAGTTCTTGATAAAGAATTTTCCAATACAATGTGACATATGGTGAGTGTGTGAGCACGTGTTGGAGGAGGAGATGGTGGCTCAATGGATTAGTCATTTGCCTTTCACCTCTGGAAGCATAGTTAAACTCAGTCCTGACCAGAGTTGCACAGTATATTCCAGATGGCTAAAGTGGGCCTAATTAAAATGAATTCAGTGATGTCACCTCAGATCTAAGTGAATTGTATGCACCACTCATTTGGCATTTTGGCAACATCACCTCACAAATGAAATAAACAGGATTAAAATCCTCCTTTAAGACTTTAGGGACAAGGGTCACTCCACATAGAAATACGTGTTTTCTTAACTAGACTATGTATCGTTGTAATTCTATTATCTGTTTGTTATATGTATTGTTTTCTTTTTAATTCTAATTAATGCTTCCCTGTAATACAAAGAAACATTAAATGAGACTTGCATGTGAGACACACCAGTAGAGCAACATTTCAGTCAGATGATTCAATGGTCATACACTGATTTATACCAGGTGTGAATCAGGCAAAAAAATTTTCTAAAATAATTTATTTTAATAAAATCTTTTTCATTTTGCGTAGAGATAAATCCAAAGAATTTAAATCCCAATTACAAAGAAATACTTACACCAAAGTGCAAAGAGTTACTAATGTGAAAACTTTACATGAAATAATTCTTCACAGCTCCTCTCCAAATTAAAAACTGCCTCAACAATACAGTTCGGGAAAGCTGGATGGAGGAAATAAGAAAGGACTTGTGTAACCTGTGTACCATTTCTCATCTCATAAACTGTGTACATTCTGAAAATATGTAGCGTGGATATGCTGAAGTAAGGCAGCTTTTTCTTCCTCGGCTAATTTAAATTCACAAATATTTTGTCTACTAGCTAGAGTGTTTCCCTTATCTGAAATAATGACCATTTTTTTGTGTTATATTATACACTCAGGAAATGTATCCCCAAGTATATTGTGAAGGGTTTTTTTTTCTAAGTTTGTTTTTTCTTTCAACATTTCATCAATGGATAGCAAACTGCTGGGCCCACAGAGATCTCCAGACCACCAGCTCATGTATTTGAAAGGCATCTGTTTATTTTTAAAATGCAAATGTAGCCTACCTCAAAGACTGACTTGCAAGAAATGAACAATCTGAACAAGTCAAGAGGTTTCCAATCAGGAGCTGTGTTCCTCCTTTATATCAGGCTATGATCACTTGCTGTCAAAACCACTTAAACAATATCCTGGAATCTGAATGAAGTCCCCCCACAATTAAAATGAGCAGGATAATCCTGCAAGAATTATTCAGGCAAATCATTTTTCACACAGTTTAAAGTAATGATAAGGTCATTTACAAAAGAAATCAGCGCCTTTGAAATGCTGACTTGTAGACAGAGGACTGCCTGGAGGAGGGCCATAGATAACAGTGAAGACTGGCCTCCTAACACTACCCTCGCAGTCTTTGGAACTGATTCTGATGAAGAGAAGGCCCAATAAGGTTAATACCCCTACTTTGATCTCTGTCAAAGCGTACCAGCAAGAATTAATTTACATTTCAGATGAAAAAGGTTGACAGCATGAAAAGGCATCTTGTTTCTGGTATGTGAATGTGCTGTAATAGATCGGGAATTCTGAAAGGAAGTTCTGAGGAAGCTAAAGGGATAAGCCGAGCGGCTGCTTTTATTGGGAAAGAGATGAAAGGAAAACAAATTTCAATATGTGCTGTTCTGTAAAAACATGTAAGCCAAATGCTTCCTAAATTTCAAGGCCTGCTTGAAGGCTGAGGATGGGGGAGGGAGAGGAGAGGGAAGTACATTTATTTTAATTATACGGTTTTGCTAATGTCTGGATGACAAATGCAAACAATATATCTCTCTGCCTGAAATGATTCATTTAAAAAAAAAAAAAAAAAAAAAAAAAAACCACAAAGGTGATCATACTCCTTTTTACTGAAAAGCTGCCTTGAAATACACACTAACATTATAAGATGTGCAGGGAAGGCAGAGATTTGGGCTTGCTTTTGTTCCCATGTCACTAAGCACTTTGGCAGTGTAATGTAAACAAGAGAAGGATGTCTGTGTATTTTAAAAGCAGGAAAATGGCCGCCATTCACAAGCATGAGCTTTGATTATAAACACTGAATGACTAACATGTAGAGAAGAAAAAATGGTGCAAGAAGAATTTTCAAATATGGGATCCTAGATATAGATTTCCAAAGGCAGAGAGAAACATGCTGGGGACTATTATTATTATTACTATACCTCACTGAGTGCAGTGCCAAAGACAGGAGAAGCAGCCAGGGTAATTAATACAGAGGTGCATGTGTCACTCTTAACCCTACAGTCCTAGTGCTCATTTACCCAGACTGATCACTGAAACTGTCAAGTGCCAGGTTACAAAAGAAGGCAGTGTGTCTGTTGGTTGGAAGAGCACTAATAGCATTCCTCCAGCATTAGGCCCTGAGGACAGAAATGTCCAAATACCAGGATATGCGTACAATCCCACTGCCTCTGCTCTGCCATGTTCAATGCAGCATCTCAGAGATGACAGGAAGGAACAAAGCTCTGAATCTCTTCCATGTGTGTAAACAGCAGAATCAGTTGCATTTTCTAAAGCATTGGTAATATGCATGGACCTCCTACATGCCTAAGAAAGCTAGCTGAAAAAAATTCTAAGGCCAAGTATCCCCTACAGCCTCTAAGTAATATTGCTACACACCAGCTTCCAATGAAATCTGAGATAACTCTCCTCTTAAAAACTGTTAATAGTGGGAAAGTGAAGGGTCAACCATTTCACTTTCTTTTTTATGACAAAATGCCGTCGTAAAAGTCAGGAAATCTTAGTGCAGGTATGGACAAGCATAAATTTAGTGAATACTCCAGAAAGCAGTTGCATGTGGTTCTTTAAAATCTGGTCATGAATAAAACAAATGACAACACAAAGGAGAGGAAGAAGGGGAGAGAACACTCATGCAGCTCCTCAGTGCTTGCAGTAATAGGGAAAAAAAAATCTCCTTAACTGTTCTCCATATAATATAATGATCTGCATTTAACACTAGAGCTATAGTTTATGATTATACATAACAGTATGCACACTAAGCTATAAATTACTATTTTAACCTAATGATAATCTGTTCCTTTCTGTAACCAGATTGGTATTCTTCTGTTTTCTGCTCAAAGTCATTCTGAAGCTTATTTTCAGAGTAGGAAACTTAAAAGAAAAAAAAAGTTGCATTTAGTGGGAATGGCTTACGAAGAGAACAAAGTGAAGGAATATTTGTAACTATTCCATTTCAGATTGATTTTAGGTTGTATGACACAAAATAGAGAGGTTACAAAGCTTAAGGACCTATTATAGCAGAGGCAGCTGGTAAAATAAAGGTGGTGCCATGATTTATCTGTAAACACATTAGCTACAGCTCATTTTTGATCAGGTATAGTCTCTCACCTGGGGTTGGACAGAAAAGGTGTTTTACACTGCATCATATGGGGGCTGCTTCACTCTGGCAGCATGTGAAAACATCACTGAGTTTGCAGCAGTGGTTCTTAGATTTCTATGCCATATGGTACCCTGCTCTCTACTAGAGAACTGCACAGCCCTATGGGCCTGTTCCTCCAACAATCTCTTTAAAGTTCATTCAAATTCATATTGATACATCAGCATAGGAGTCTGGCAGAGAGTCACAGATTGGCCAAAGCTAGCAAACTCAGCAGGCAATTGAAAGACAAACTTGGCTATCTGCCAAGATTGGTACTTGACAAAGAGAGAAATGCATGTCCAGTGCCTCCAATCCACACTTACAGTCAAACAAATTCAGTACTTCATTCCAGCTCTGCACAAGATTGAGTCAGACTGATTGTGCTGAGAAGAATCTTTAAGAATTAACAGCTTTTATTTGGTATGTTCCAGAAAGGTACTCAGAAAAATCTCATAAAAAGTGTCATAACTGTCACAGATGTCATTTGATAGTGAAGAACAAGTGACGAGAAGCAATGCTTTTGACAGATTTCGTTTGAACTGTACGTATTTCTCTTTGTTATAAACACTGACACGTGAAATCACCCACAGGCAGAATAGGTATTGGCAACTAAAATAATGTTTTAATTACCTGCTTGAATATGTACAGCAGCATTATTTCTTCTGTTCCTTATTTCCTTGTACTTCCTGCGAGCTTCATATCCTCTCCAAGCTAAAAATACAAAACCATGTGCTGGAAATTACATTTATTTAAGGAAGTGCTACAGAGTCTACAGAGTTAGAGATGTGCTGAAACTTTCATCCCTCCTGCCACAACCACTCCAGCCCCCACCTCCAGCACCTCCTCCTCACCCACCCACATGTTGAACTCTGAGTTCATGACTGTAGTACTCTCATCCCTGCAACTTCAAACACTGCTTTACTCGTCCAAATTTTAATTGTCACCATGTGCTCACTGATGTCCTAATCCAAAAGGCAAAGGTGCATAATAATTGTGCATCATCAGTCAGCACAAGAACTCCCCTTCTCACACAACTTCCCAAATTCGATATAAAAAAGCCCGCTAGATTACTGGCAATCAGCCTTTTGGGCCCACCCCATAACTTATGTTATCTGTAAGTATGGTGCACATAAGAAGGCAAAGGGAGAAAAGAGGGAGGAGAGCCAAGATACTGCATGTATGTGCTGCAAGCTAGTGTAGACACACCTAACAATATTTTCCATTTATGTACAGGCATCACATCCAAAATATTAAAATATTTTAAATAATTACATTACTGAAAGCTAAGATAACACCCTAGAAGTAAATCAGTAATATTTTCATCAATTAACCGGAGAGAAAAGTACCTCCTGTTATTTTGATTTCATATAAACTATTATCAATGAATAAATATTATACACATAATTTAACATCTTGAAATGCCAAATTACTCAGTGAAGTAGGAAATGTGAATATTTACCTGACTGTATGGTAACAGCACTATTTTCTCTTTTTTCTTTGGCTTTCTTGTATCTTCTTGCTCCAAGCCATCCCTTGATATAAGCCTGCATGACCACCACCCTCCCTATAACTTCTCGCAGGAACAAATTTAACTGCTCTATATGGTAATACTTTAGAAAAACCTGAAATGGAACAACAAATTCAGTATTATACACAGGTAGCAACACAACTGATTGTATTTTGCCTTTTTGGAAGCCTTGTATTAGCCTGCTTCCGAGCACTTTTTCTGGGAAAGCTCATAAAATACTAGCTGCTGGTTGTTTTTTTTTTTTTTTTGTTTGTTTGTTTTTAGCAATTTTGTGAATTAAATAACTTGCTTTCAGTGTGCTGAGGGAGCTTCATTATTCCATTGAAAACAATCACTTATTCAAAAAAAATAAACCACTTATTTTTGCCCTTAAGAAAGTAAAAAGTAACTGATGAGAGAGAAGCTTTCAAGTATCAATAGTTTTAAAACACAGACTTTCTTGACAGTTGGGGGATAAATTTTGGACTACATTTGTTTTAGACAATACCGTCTAACAACACTGCTTTAAGAGGCAAATACTACGGGTAGTTACACACTTTATCTCCTTGTTTCTCCTTTGTGCACAATAAAACAACTCAGGATACAATATAACTTTCTTTTCACAGAAGTCAGCCAGACCATTTTGAGCCACGATCAAAGGCTCTTCTATCAAAGAACCAGAAAAATCTCATCTGAAACTCCACAGATAATGTACTAACCAGACCCACAGAACAGGCCAGAGTGTAAAGTTTCAGTCATGTCATGATTAATAGAAGGATCTTCAAGACACTATCACAGCAGGCACTGACAAATATACCATCTTTATCAAGGCAGCCACGTGCAGAGTGCATTTTGGGGAGGTACCCAATGCACCTTTTCTCCAGTAGCACAAACTCATCTGGATTGGAAGGGCACCTCTGTAACCTAGAAGGCTAACTAACTGGAACAAATTCCTTGCTCTCTTGTTAATTCACTCAGTACTTTGCAAAACACTGTTAGATAAGCTTTGCTACAGGAACACTATCCTGGAGAAAACATTAGCATTCTCTACCTTAGTTTTTCCAATAATCCAGTTTTCTAGTTTAGCTTTCTTCAAAATGGTCAGACAGTTTTCTCTGCTGCCAAGGGGAGACTCATGTGCCTTGAAAGCAAGGTAGTAATACCTACAAAGCAAAATGACAAAGAAAAAGTTGACTTGGTAACAAAACATACTTCCACTGCTACTCTGTAGCTCAGAGATAAAACTCCAGAATTAACGGAAATATTTCTAAGATACATTATTTGTGACCTGAAGTCTGTTTCTCATTAAAAATGACCTTAAAGTCTATTTCATCAGTAGAATCTTGCAGTATGTTAGTGCATAATCAATGAATACACTGTGTACAAGATGTTATAATTATGAAATATACCAGAGAGTTTGGCTAAACAGGTCATTATACCAAAAGAGAATAGATGGAGTAGTTGCTCATGTCCTGGGCTTGCTGAAAAATTCCAAAGGAGGAATCTCCAGAAGAGATCCTTCCCCAGTGGCAGTCAGCTCCTAAATGGGTCTAGAAGAGGTGCAGCCAAGCTCCACCCCTTCCTGCAGCGCAGGTGAACTGCCTTCACCTGTGCTCCGTGGCTGACTCAGTGCTCACCTCAGATGATCAATATGAGGTTCAGGCCGTGATTCAGCAGTTCCCATACAGTTAGCTACTGGTATTGGCCATTTTTCACAAAGAAGTATAAGTGGCCTTGATATTAATTGGGAAACAGGGATCCACATAAGAAGACCAAAGACTCTTGAGCTTGTAACAAGACCACCCTGTCAACAGCACCTAATATTCATTTTCAGTATTTCAAACAGAAAGACTGCAGATTCTCAGTCTGTGAAGAAAAAGGCCAGCACTAGTACGGCAGGCAGCACACAGTCTGTATCAGTGATACTGACTGATCATATGTGCTGAGAGGCTGCTACCATGTGCAAAGAATAAAGATAGTTTACAGGAAAAATAATTCTCATATTAATCTTAATTTACAGACAGCAGAATGTTCAGACTGCTTGACATCTGAATTTTGTGTTTCCGGGAAAAGGTTGTATATATGCACAATTAAAACAACTGGCACTGCTATCTTATTGGCAAGGATCGTATTAGTGCTGGTAGTTAAACAAAACTAGTAGCTATTTTAAAGAGAAAAATAAAATGAACTACTCTTCATTTAAATTAAACCATTTTTGATAGGCACAAGGATTTCTATGGTTATGTAAGTCTTTAGGCATTTTGCCTTTTTTCTGTTTGATTGGGATAATCAGTCAATGGGAATCATTATGATAACTCCAGTGGCCTTGAGATCAGGCCCATAGTAAACAACCTTGACTTTCGTTTTGTCTGTGATCCCAAAAAGAACAGCTTGAGAATTACGTGAAATAAAATTACGGTGCAAAAAGATAAAAAGATAACTAAAAAGAGATGCATACTTGTTTGAACTGAATAGACATGAGAAATGACTGTAACAAGCCGGGGTTGTAAAGCCACCATTTGTTCATGAAGAACAGTTTTATAGTATTCAAGTAACTCTATTTGCAAACAATCATGTTACATAACAGCAAGAACACTGGCTAGCTAGTTTACAAGATCAAGGTTATTTTAGCACAAGTACACAGATAGTAGCAACTGCCACCTCACTTCTCATTTATGAACCATCTGAACCATCATGTTTCTTCTTTAAGTTTCACTTCTGCAGGAGCTACTCTGTTTACATTGCTCTTGAAAGGAATTGGCAGGTTCAGCAAACTAATCTCCTAATTACTAGAATGGGGAAGAACCATCACATAGTCCTTAGAATAAAGAAAGGAATCTGACCAGTGAATCTCACAGATTCCTCTTGTAGCCACATAAAGGCAAGAAAAAATTTTACCTCATACTGAAAAAAAAAAAAAAAAATACTGAGAAGCAATTATAAAGAATGGAACAGTGCAAGTTTGTATTTTATTTATTTTTTTTTTTTTAATCAGGGGAATATGATTTTCAAATATTAGCTCCAGTTAATCTCTAGAGATTAGCTCCAGTTGTCACAAGAAAGAAAAAAGAACCACTAAAATAGTCAATAAAGATCAAAGGGGAACCAAATGATGTCTGAAGGCACTGGAATCTGTCCTGAACTGGAGAGATAGATATTCACCAACTGGAGACACTGCCCACTCTGAATAATGATAAGAGATTATGTGTTACTGAGTTAAGGTTTTTTAATGTAGTCATTTTATCTGTAAGATGGTATTGCAAATTATTTAGCGAAGTCTTTCAAAGTGCCAACAGTCATGGCATTTAGCAGGTATGGAGAAACGTTACAGATTTAAAAGAAAAAATGCCCATTTCCTCTACTTTACTACTAAACTTAATGATACATGATTTCACAAGACAGCATTCTGACTTGCACTGATAGAACTCAGATATAAAATATACATATCCCAAACAATTTGTCATAGTTTGCAGTTTCAACATGCGCTTGACAGACATGTCAGAGAAGTTGCATCAGTAGTAAATTGCTGATTGCTACATAAACTAGATCAGATTAGTCTTGGCATTTATACATATGTGTAACTTAAGTGGCTTGTTTCTTTTCCTAGAGGGAAGGAAACCTTCAAGTCTATGCTATTATCAGCTTTTCGCATGTTCACACGTCTTTTAAGACATGTAGCTGGGAATTTTAAAATCATTGAACAATATTTAGATAGCACGGGTGCAATAAAATAGTTGGAGAACTCCACAATTTTTAAATTTTACAATCTTATCAGTGACAAGCAAATGCTTTGTTTTCTAACACTGCCTGTTTTCATGCCTAAGTCACTAACTACAAACACACAAGTAATTTGATTTGTGCTTAGGATAACTGTATCACAACATAGCATGTGCCATGTAGGGTCATCTAATTTATGAAATTTAAGATCTTTGTATGGCAACAAAACAAGTGCAATATTTTGGAGGAAGATAAAATGTTTCACCTTAATGCATCTGGTGAAAGTTTGCAAATATTATACATGGTGAAATGGTAGTGAAAATTCTAGTTGTGCAGCCAAAGCTTTGGGCAACATATAATTACAACTCTGTTCATTGTGATTTACTGGCCTAAGAATGTCTCTATCATACTTACATTCTTCTGTACAGAGATCACAAAAAGAGCGAACTCTATTTACATGATTTTATCAAGGGAAGAAACTAAATCCTTAAATGCAGAAATGTAGGGCTAGAAATCACACGCACTTCCACATGAGAATAAAGATTCACAACTTAGTTTTTTTATCTGCATATTTGCTTTTGTTCTAGCAGACAATGCAGTAGTCCAAAACACTTTGTCTATATTAAGCCAATACTTTTATTTCTGTTTTTTAAAATTAAGTTTATAATTTTTCATTCGTTGTAACATAGGCATGGAAGGACTTAATGAGCAATGAGAAATTTAGGACTTCTGAAAAACAAAACCAACAGGTAATTTAATTGTAGCAGACACTACTTACATATTCAGACATTCAAAATATTTTGTCTTGAATGCACAAAAATACTCATGGAGTATTCCACATATGCTGTGGAATCTTCTACCTTGAAGTATTTTGAACTGGAAATGAAGAAACAGTTTTACCCTCTGTTTTGGAAATAAATACAAGACTGAAAGAAAGACTTAAATAGACAAGAAAGAATGATAGTCTTGCTTCCAGGGCAGCTTGCTAAACTAACTGTAGGTTAAAGTAATGCTGTGCCTGGTCTATACATAAGGTACCATCTAAATGGGATCTTTGCACTACATCACTGCATTTAAATAGAATAAGAACCATAAAGGCTATTACAAACCATTTTGCATGAGATTGGAGACATACTCCAGTATGTTGGTAAGATTTTCTTCTTTGGATGCAAATGGTTACTCTTACTACAGAAGATCTGAGTGATGACAGAAAAATGATCACCTAGGCTGAAATTAAGAAACTGTAGCATTCCCATGTAATTGGTACTACTGTTTTAAGTACAACATGGTTTTATTTGTTTTGAAATAAAGACAGTAAATTCCTAAGAGCCATACGGATGCAAAACCACATTTCTTTTAAATTATCCATCCTGCTTGAACATTTCCTATGTATACTCAACTATATGTACCCTAAAAGCATTTGACTGATCACATGAGTGAGTAAAAGAGAAATAATTTCACCTCAAAAGAACTGATTTCTCAGCAGATGAAACCTGTTTGAAATTATACATTTCTTAACCATTGGTTCTTATATTGCTCTACAAAGGATCCTGCATGGATGTTAATATTCTCATGCAAAACATATATTACAGCAGGATTAACTTGGACTTAAGAGTAATTAGAGACAAAAGGAAGTTCATTAGAAGTTGAATTTATCCCCAGATGAACAAATACAAAGCTGGGACATGCATAGTTAAAGTTAAAAACATCCGAGTGTACTGAGACACAGAAAACATCAGGTTGCTGCTGTGTGTTAATTGTCTGACTTATGTAAGGTTTTACCTTAGACAAACAGATTGTAAATGGTTCAATTTCTCTCCTCTCCAATCTTTAGGGCTGAATTGTGGAAAAGATCAATAAATAGCACTTAAACAGCCCCATCAACTATTATAACAGTGCCTCTTACCAAAATTCCCTTTGCAATCCAGGCCTAAAGGCTCTGTAAGTTCTACATACCAAGGTAACAATTAACACTTTTTGTCTTTAAAAAGAACATTTGTATTAAATATTCTGGCCTGAGGTGGAGAATGGGCGATGACATATGAAAACCATGAGGTGTGAGAAGGAGAAAATCTCCAACTAGACCCCCAACTATAAAAGGCCTATTCTCAGTATCAAAAAAATACTTGTTTCTTCTCAGGCCTAGAAATGGAAAGTTAAAATACAAACAAAAGAACCATCATGGTTTTGAGCACAGAAAGAGCCTGTAGATAACTTTCAAGAATTCCCAGCTTGTATTTGTTGCATCTTACTTCTTTTAGAGGCTTCCCCAGTAAATTGTATAGAACTGATTACATTGGACTCTGCAGTGAGAGTATGAATTGAAAAATGTAACAGGAATGTAAGTGAAAAAAATATCCAAGAGACTCTTAAGAAACATCTACAAAAATTTTCAGTAGAAAATACCTAAAGCATACTGTCAATCATCAGATAACCATAGAATCACAGAAATACTCCCCAAAAAAGCATATTTTGGTCCATTCTGTATTTATAACTTGTAAAGGATTATCAGACTTTTCACTCGTAGAGATTTCAAGCCTCTTTCATCCTGCAACTGTTTACCAGCATTCTGTGGATGTGAAGAGTATAGAAATAAGATGTGGAAAATACAGTAGTTTATCATACATGAAGTGTAAAGTGTATGTAGATTAGGTGAAATCTTAAATCCATTGAAAGAAACAACAGACACTTCCATGGCTTATAGAAAATTAAAATAAGGTGAATGGCAATGTTTTTTTCTCTAGAATTCACTTGAGAGTTTTGATACAAAGCAGACTCAGTGTTAAAAGTGAGAATGCAGTAAGAATTATCTATTTTAACGGTGAGTATTATTTTCTGTCTAGCAAGCCAGTTGACTTCTAATTTAATACAGGGCTTCCCTTATTATGAATAATAAACAAGCCTATCACCACTGGCAGAAGAAATGTCACACTGAGATTTTAGAGACTGAGTTGGTGTCAGGAGTACCAACAGAGACCTTATGCAAATTTACACTGAAAATTCTTTTAGAAAAAGAAGAACCAATCATATTGGGATCATTGTTACAGAAATATTACTGGTATTGCCATGAGTGTATGTTCTGAATGATATTATCTGTCTATTAAAGAGGGGGTAGCACTCATAGGAAAACCACATTCTTCATTCTAACACAGTACAAAGAACTTTGATGCAGAACATAAACTGTTAGAGAAGTAAAAAGAAAAAAATATATAATCCTTACATGAAATTTATACAAAACTTCTCAACACAGTCCTATGTGCTTATGAGGCGTCTGAAGCCTGATACCATTTAGCACCATGAGACTCTCAAGTCTCTTATATTTCAAAACATGATATAGCATATGCTGCATGACACAGAAAGTGTATACGGGATGGGTATATGCAGTAATGACAAGCCTGCAGATCACATCAGAGGCCTAGGCACTGGAATATAGGAAGTAGTGTCTCATCTAATGGGAATTTCAATGTACGTCCCTTTCCTTAGCTGCTGTGCAGTGCATGGTCACTATGCAGACCTGCAAGCCAGGCCCACCTTGCTGCCTGATCACCTTAATAATCTCTATCTGAAGCCGGGGATCACAGGCTGAGAAAGGGACCACAGAGCTCCACAGAAAACCTGTAAGACAGACTCATGACAATATGGGATGTGAAACACAGCAAATGCAGATGAACTGCTGAAAACTTGATAGGTTCACAGTGTTTACAAGGGTTGTACATTAGATTTCACTACTTTAATTAAAATAATGTCTTTGTTTATACATGTGAAACACATGATTCTATCTTTGGCTACAGTACCATTGTATGAATGAGTTACAATTAAGACTGCCTCTCACCATCTGCTTTTCATCCCAATAAACTAAATTCCAGGTTTGCAACCTGTGAAATAATCTGCTCTGCATGAAAACAGAAGATGGTAAAGAGTAACGTTACAAAGCTTTATCTTTTGTTTACCTCACACCTGATAAACTCTGAATGGTTCTGTTCCCTGCCTTTGACTGTTTTGTCCTCATATTTCCTGCTAAGAGTTTACAAAACAGCATTACTGAACAGGCAGACAAGAAGCACACCTATTTGTTTAATAACATCAAGGGAGAAAAAGTTGCTGGCTCATCCGTTTTGTTGTTAAGTTGTTCAAAAGGATCAAAATACCAATTAACTTGCTTGCTTAGAAAATCTTTGATATCCTCAGATTTACTGACATTTTGAAATTCTTGTTCATACTTGCCTAATGTCTTTTTGATTATGAACAAAGAAGTGCCAATCTGTTTAGCATTTGACCTGTTTTCTCAAACAAAATTTTTATGTATTCAACTACTTAGTTCCTAAAAACACTTGACTAGTCATGGCTGTAAGTGGAAGAAAAATATTTTCTGTTCCACTGCTGTCTTTGTTATACATTGTTCATTATTTTTTTTCAAGAATATAATGGAATAGAATTTAAAAATGATGCATAAAAACTGAACAAAGGAGAAAGAATCACCTGCCTCACTTCATATTTGGGACTCAGTCAAAAGCCTTCTATGCTGGTGGGCAAACTGTAAATCACCTCACACGTCTCTTACATTGTCTTTCTTTTCTGAATGAATTACACCAGATTGGACTTAAAACTTGGGGACTATTAAAAAAGATGTTAAATACAAATTGCCCTTATCTGTAGGAATGGAAAGCTACAGTTACCATCGCTTTTTTTATCATTAATTTTCAAGGTTGTACTCAGGTTCCGTGCATTTTTAAACGAGAAAAATCTATTGATAGGAAGAGGCCTAATTTCTTCTCAATTTACATCAATTTCAGTGAAATTCATCTTTGTTCACTTGTGTGCAGATAAAATTTCAGGCTCTTCGTGATGTTGCAAAACATGTAAGCGATCAGAAAAATTAATCTTTTTGTTCAACCTGTCTGCTTTAAAATTTTATGACCTTACTAACATTAGTCACATAACACACAAATTAAAGGTGGAGGGAAATTGTGTCTGAAAATTAAATGGCTTTGATGGACAAATGAACATTTAAGTTATCCTTCCTGGGATGCAAATCTCTTATGTATTTCTGTTACATATTCCTTTAGTATCTTAATATATTACAAATCAGAAAATTCAGTTTTTCAGAATGAATTGACTAAACTACAGTTTATTGGTCTACATCTGTCTGTGCAAGAATCACAGACACACAAACTCAAATGACTTATCTACAAACATGTACATTTTCTTAGTCCTTGTGTTTTTGGAAAGGCCTATGGAACTCTGTCTTCTTTCTCAAAAACAGTCAGCTACTTCCATCTAGTATCATATGATTTTTTATTTTTTTTTTATTTTTCAGTAGATTCATTAACTCTGTACTCTCTGATCTCCAGTACAGGAGATAGCAATAAAGGGTCAATACAGCCATTTGCTACTTGTTCTTACTTTTAAGGAATCAACTGCTTAAAGGTACTGTTTCTATTTCATTACTGAATTATCAGCCTTACAGACTAGAAAAAAGTAAATAATACATAGAAAAATACTTAGCTCTAAAGGAAGCCATATAAAGACTGTATAAACAGATTGTCACTATAAAGACAATTGCATTTCCTGAATCCGATTTGTAACTTCTTGATACACAGATCCTTTCAGTAATCAAAATGGTATATAGTAGCCATGATAAGGGTTCAGGTCAACAGATATCTGATTATAATTCATGGTGAATCCAAGACACACGACCACAAGGAAGCTGTTAGGAGGAATATTCTAATTTGATAACTTTTGTGCACACAAATGTTTTTTTCCAGTTACAGCTGTGTTTTACATCTCTTCATTATTAGGCTAATGTCAGTGTACAGAAATAAGCGATTGACATTCCTACTAACTAGTCTTGCTCAAGAGCAGAAACAGTTTTTTCAGTTGAATTTTCATACTTCCTGAGTTGATAAAAAAAATAAGGAAAGGTTGAGGGGGAAGATAAAAAGAGATGAAAGGTTTGTAAAATGGGGAAAAGGAGAGGCAAACATTCTTATGTTATGTCTCTACATGGGAACTACCCCAGTAGTGACACAGATTTGAAATTATGCCTTACATTTTTCCAGTATGACTTCTCTACACACTAAAGGATGTAATAAATCAAATCTGGTATGTTATTCACAAAAATATTTTAAACCATTTTTTACAATGTTTTATGTTTGAAATCTGTATTGATGAAAAATTCTCTGGACTATTTCTAGCTTTTTTTTTCCGATTTAATTAATGTTTTCAAGCTTGAAATTAATACTCTTCTCAGACAGTTGCTCTTTTTTTTTAACCGTTCTTTTATATCAGCTCTTTCTTAAGCATGTGGATCTTATTAAAATGAAGACTGACTGACCTTTCAAATCCTTGTATTGTCTGAGCATGATACCTATGCACATGTTGCTACTGCTGCTGAAATCATAGAGATGGTCTTGCTACTGAATACTAACTGCTCACTGCAGTTCTCCCTCTCCTTCTCTTGACCACTCTTGTAGCTTTTATCTGATAGTTACTGCTTTTATTAGAATAACACAGACCATACATGTACAAACCAATATTTTTAGAACTTCTCATACTTAAAGATACAATATATTTTGTTGAATGGAACTTTAAAATGACAGTCATGCTATTGAAGTCTTACCTTTTCACAAACTCTTCAAAAAGGATGCGATGAGAATATCCTTTTTGACGTATTTTGACAGTTTCCAGAATTCCAGTGTATCGTAGCTGCAGTAGAACTCTCTCATGAGAAAATGTTAGTGCTTCTCGATTATCATTAGGTTTAATGCAGCGGATAAAGTGAGGCTGTCCAACAACCATTTTGGATAGAAGATCCATGAGGGAATACTAGTGAAGGAAAAAAGAGATACAGAGACTTGCCTAAAAAAACTGCAATTCAGTTATATAAGTAGGAAATATATTTTGTAAACAGTATGGAATGATTGATTACATGTTAATTTGTCGTGATAATGCTAATCGGTATTCAAGTTTTCATTTTTTTTAGCTTTTGGCTGAAATCCAGAATCTATTAAAAGCTTTTAACTGTCAAACACAAATTATGATTCTAGTTCTACTTACCCTATTCTCTTCATCTCTCCTTATATTACCTTCTTGTAACTTAAGAAAGCTCATATTGAAATTTTGAATTGAAAAATGTCCCAACTATAACTCTGTTATAGGCACATTTGATCAAACAGTTATCCCCAAGAGGAGAATAAGCTTACTGTAAAACAATCATGTAAGGATCACAGAAAACCATGGAGATGGGGTTGAATGAAGCTACTGGTTTAGTACTTTGCACACAGAGAGCACTGAATGTATCTATATAATTTCAGGCACATCTCTGAGGAATCTTTTCGTCAGAATCACTGCTACAGACTGCATATTCTCCCAGAGTAATCCACTGAAGTGCCACATTATTGTAACTACCCAGAATGTTCTTAGCATCTAGCCTGAATATTCCTGCTGAAACATGGGCCCATTACTTCTTGCCCTAACCAACCCAAACATTGAATACAGTTTATTTCATTGTATGAAAATATTTCTGCTTCATTCTTACCTCGTTACCCCACTGATCAGAATTTGCTGCAAATACACTCAATCTCAATGCTGCATACAATTCCAAGCTGACTGGATCTGAATGTGGTCACTTGGTTGTAAGCTGCATTCAGACAGCAGATGAGTATTTTCAGACTCACTATCTATTTATTTTTTTAGTCTCTTACTTTCCTCTTTGATCTAACAGCTCCACATACATTTCAGAAATATCTGTTCTTACAATCAGTATATTTGTTTACAGTTTAACTGCTGTACCCTAAAATAGGAAGCCATAGTTTGTCGCTTCATGTTAGTTGTTTCCTCAGGGTGTCGCATAACTTCCATTGTGTCAACCTAGAAGATAAAACTCAAATGTTAGATCTGTTGCAGAAACACTGCACAGCCACCCCACCTCATTCACAAGAGCTAGGCTTGATGTTTCTTCTAGTCATTCTCTCAGGTGACCACATTCCTAGCATCTTTGGGAAAGGTACACAATGAGGAGTCTGCCAGCCAGCAGTGATTCTCTCACTAGTATTTTTCACTGTAAAGTTGTTTGTGAGCTACATCATGGCTGTCATAGGCAGCAGTATCACTTTTTTATTTAATTATATGCCTTGAGACAGGTCAAGCAGTAAGCACACCACATTAAAAAACTGCATGTCATGTAGTATCAGCTCCTATCTAAATAGCTTGATATCTCAAACTCATTCACAAAGCAAGAAACTGTATTTTACCTGTGTCTTCCTATATATTAGACCACTGTTGATGCCTTCATTTACTAGATCTTCCTAGACTGACACTTCTGATTGGGTTAGGTGACAATTTCATACTTTTTTCATGATAATTTGTTAGGCCAATGGAGCAGTTGTCAAGATGCAATACCTTATGAAGCCTTCCTTACTTTTATCATCATTGCAATGAACTCCACTGGGTCTTACTTTCTCTATAATGTTACTATTTCTGTAATGACCTGGAAGAAAATTATTAAAAAAAAAACTGCCTCCTTTTGCTTACACATGGAAAAATGTTCTCGCAACATAACAAGTGGCAAACAGAATAGGTAACCACAGAACATGCAAGTCTTTTCCTAATTACTGTTGTGTCTACTATTATTAACATTAAAATGCCATTTTGATGCCAAGGATTTCAGCAGTCTCACTCAGCTGAACTGCTGTTGCATCAAATACCAGTTTTTTCAGCATTTCTGCAGAGCTCACAAGGGTTATTTTTAGACAGTATACGCAGACAGCAAACACATTGCTTCTTGTGTATTTTACTTATATTGTCAGTACAGCTGTTCTTATCAACATGAAACTAGAATTTATGAATGAGTATAACCATGGTTATCATCACAAGCAGATTGTGTTGCTGTACTGCAGCTCAACAAAATCAACCAGCATCCTGCTTGCATGGGGCATTAGCAACATTCTAGCATTCACTTGCTTTGTGGCAGTTTACCATCTGCTCTGACCAGGTGGCATTTGTATAAACCAGATAATGCCATTGTCAGCACCTGTGCTACACCTCCTGGACTTTGCTCCATATGATCATTTCCAAAGCTCACTGACTTAAGACCACTCTTCTGAACATTAACATAATTGCTGAAAGACTACAGTTTTCAATAAAGTAATTGTCTCTCTTACCTTCAGGAGATATTTAGGAGACTGCATGAAAAATACAAAGGAAATGAAGAGCTAAATAGTAATAGACCAAGAAAATGGATTTTGTATTGGAGAAGAAATCAAAAGAGAAAACTTGTGAAGACAAGATTCAGAATACAGATGGTGCAAAGGGAGACAGATTTCCACAAGGGTGACCACAACAATTTCAGCATGATTTTGCAATCTCTGATGCTCTTAGCCCTAAGTGGGGTGTATGCACTATTATGCATGAAGAAAAAAAGAGATGCAGTTGGACTTCAGTTTTAAGAACACTAACAGAAAACTCTGTAATATATCGAAGGATAAAAGCTTTATCAGCACAGATAACATCAAACACCTTAAGAGGTTATGTGAAAAATTAACAATCAGTGACCCAATCAGAATAGCAGGCATGTCCATGGGGAAGATTTTGGGAATGCTTCAAAATCATCTTGGCAAGACAACTGTTGTTTGAGCTTTGGTATCTAAAGCTCTCATAAAGGTCAGGAGAAGACAACAACATTACCAGTGAATACTGACAGTAAGCCCATAATAAATGGTAACATTTATTAGAATTTATTAGAATTGTGTGTTAGAAGACAGACAACCACAAAGAACACCAACAGCAAAAGTAAATTGTCTAAGGACTGTACTAAAGCCCAATTACCCATGAATTTGAGCTTCTAAATTCGATTCTTGGCTGTCTAGAAAAGCATAGACACCAAATTAGAATTTTTTTGGAGTTTCAGTACTCATGAACTCTTAGTCACAATTTAATAACTACTGTCAAATGAAGGGTGAGCTAATACTCCACCTTTTGGGCAATACAACAACATTAGCATCCCCTTTTCACAGCTGCTTATTATCACCAAACTGGTAGAATCTTATGATGCTTAAGACTGTAATTCTGTCAAATATGGTTTACTACAGCCTGCTTGGTTCAAAATGGGTTTTGTTTTGGTTTTGTGGAGGGAAGGGAGTAGGCACTCAGAAAAACAGATGGCCAAAATCATTTATAGAGAACAATGTAATACAACTTTTTTTCTTTTTTTTTTCCCAGAAAAACAGGCTAAAACCAGTGCTGTGAGATTCCTTTTCTTTGGAGATGTAAACTCAGATCTGTGTAATCTGTAAGGGCTAGGGCCAACTTAAAAATCTTACCAACAAGAGACATTTGAAGGTATTTTTTTGATAAATTCTGAATCTGGGGAGATTTTGCTTTTGAATTTTAGAAGTTTTCTCTCCAGTTAACTTATAACATTTAGAGTATATAAAGTTATGCAGATTTATGGGAGGGCAATAATCACACATACAGCAGACAATAGACATTATCATAACTGATAGAACATAAGAATATCATGATATCATTCTGTATTTTGAATTACTAGCTGCTTTTTTAAAACTAAAATGAAAAATATTCCAACTGTTATGTCACATTTTTACATTATAATAGTCATGGTGTACAATATACATTTATGTGATTACAGCTGAAATGAAAAACAGTTACCTTAAAAAGACAAACTGTTCTATCACTAAAAAAAGAAATAGTAAATGAAATAAACTGCTTATAGTAGTTTTGAAGCAGTATTACAAAAATAATTTATGGTATCATGTCGCCTTATGAGGTCACTGCAAATTATCATTTTCACATGTTGACCACACCTGCTGTTAGCATGGTATGAAAGATGATAAAACCAGTAAATACACTAAGCAAAAAAGCTCATAAATTAAAATATAAACTCAAATTTCCACACTTCAAAATACAATTATTATTCCTTTGGAATCATTTTATTAACTGTAAAATAGTAATTTAAAATATATTTTTCTTGAAGTTGTCATAATTTCATAAAAATTTTAATTAAAGTGGTGGTTTTTTCAGCTAAAAAATTGTAACAGTTAATGTTTTCTGGATAGTGTTGCATGTATTACAGATGTATTTTAGTTCCTTCTCTAAAAATGTGAAGGGCAAATGGTCTTAAACACTACTTAGTACGACTGAATGTGTTTATCAAAGCTTTAAAAGAGAAGTGCTGTATTTTATTCCAGCTGAAGCAATAAAATGCGTGCTTACAAATCTTATGATGATATAGCTGGATGTGGAAGACAATGTTTGTATAATATTAAAAAAAATGGTAAGGCCATAATCTGTCCTTTAGGACTGAAAGTGTTTAAATCAGGAAGGAAATAAATCTCTTGAATCCAAGTCTCTATTTACAGGTACAGTAAAAGATACAGATGTCTGGGTGACACATAAGAATTCTTGTATTTGAGCATGAGCTCCTTACGACAGGAGAGAATATAAAAAAGAAACGGAATGCACAAAACGTACTTCTACAGACTTGTGAATAGCTGCTTTGATCAGTTACAACATTAAAAAAAAAAAATTGTTTGCTTTGAGGTAAAACAAAAAAAAAAAGCAACCAACTGATCACATTTTAAGAAGACTAACTGAAGTCAGGAGGGAGCATGGATGTTATCAACTTGAGGTGCAAGAGTTTTCCTCACATACTAAAGTGAAGTCAATTTGCTATTAACTGCAATAAAATCACCCCATTCTTTTGTAATTATGCCACATATTTTTATGGTAAAATCAAAAAGTGTTTATATTCCATGGTTCTTTTTACTTTATAAAGAATAGCAGTTTTGCTAAGTGGTTCTTTTCTGGTCATTTGTCAGCTACAAAGGCCCTTTGGTTTTTGAACTTTAGGTTGAACAGAACAGGAATGGATCATTGTTCTGTTTTGCCTTCTGTTTGATTAAACACACTAACCAAATTTTAGCTAATTAAATCTCTTTTTAGGCCAAAAATTGCCAGAAGAAAGTCTTGAACTCACTGAAATGAAGAGAAATGTTGCCATCATTATCAGTATAACTGCGATTTCATTACAAATGTTTAAAGATTAATCATTGGTAAATTGATTTTTCATTGGATTCCACAGAAAAGTCTTCAACAAAACTGGAAACAATGCTCCCAGCTAAGGTATGTTTATTTCTGATATTAAGGCATATTCATTTGGTAAGAGCTTCCACTATATATCTACATCAGCTAAGCATCATGCCCATAGTCTCCCTGTAATATTTTATGAGAAACTACCCATCTTCAAGCAGAACACTACCAACCTTGATACGCCCAGCACTAAGCTGTGGAGGCAAAGACCTAGATGCTGCTGTCACTCTGGCTCTTGCCTGTGCCAAGTTACCTGTTCAAAAAGAAAGAAATGCATACTATAAAAACTGTCCAATAATCTAATCTGAGAAAACATGATATGGTTAAAAAAAATCATACAATAGAAGTAAAAACAGCAGTTTACTACACTTCTTATATACCCTGCTCATTACCAACTTTGCAATGCTGAGTGTGGGCATGACATGGAGTCCAGAGTTGATTTAAAAGAGAAGAAAAAGACAACAGTAAGGTGGCTCATTGCTGACCTCAACTACTGATCTGATGAAAACAACAGCACAGAAGTGTACAGATCAGTCAGTTGCAATCAATTTCCCTGTGACTCTTTCAGAGATTTAAAAGAGTAAAAGATAGCAGAAAGAGCCTTGTTTCCATAAAATCAGTGGATCCTGAAGTGTTTAGACATCATCTTAAGCTCACAAACTAAAGAAAGAGATGAGAAAATGATAAGATAGTATCTTTTCTTGACCTTTTGACATACAGCCTACTTAATCCCCAATCTTATTATCCCTTGGGGTTTTCAAAGACTGACTCAATTCCTCAGGCAAAAACATACTGGTGTCAACTGCAAAACGAGTGCCTTTTCTTTAGCTGTACAGTATGATGTATCTTAAACTTTTTCCACCGTACTTGTAAAAGGTCAGTCATCATAAAATAGCTTTTCAAAATAAAGGCTCAGAGGAGAGAGGAAGTGATATGGGACTGTGCATATGCAAGACACTCTGTATATTTCAAAGTTTTAGCAAGTCTAGCACAAGATGTCCAAATGTTTTCTCTGGCTATATCTTCAGAGGCTAAACTGTGATTAATAGCATTGAAAGAACCCTTTGAAGCAGGATTGGTGACATCAAAGCCCTAATCCATGGGTGGCAGGATTTTTATAATGAGTGGGAAGCATTTTAACACATTTCAAAGGATTTACAGCATGAATAAACAATAGGCCTCTGCAGATGTACCACACACCTTTCAGAACCAGAACACATAAATAAGTGTCCATTTTAATTTAAATGTAAATAAAGTGTTAACACTTCTTTCAGATGCTAAGTGCCTTGTTTGCATCAACTCCAATGTTTAGCTATTTGCTTCACAGAAAGCCAGTCACTCTAAACAGTCTTCGGTTTTGATAAACTATGTATTACAGAACTAGTAGGGAAGCAAGATAGGGGAAAGAAAAAACGAGAACACTTAATTGCTGGTAGTTTTTTATACAGGAGAAGACCATATACAAAGTGCTCATAACACTGAAGGGAACTTTTGCTTGTCCCTGTAAGATTGGGAAATACCAATCTGCTGAGAAGAGTTTGGAGGCCAACCCTCAGAAACATAGCAATGACATTCTCTAGAGCAATTCAAAAATTCTATATTCATTTTCAAAAGTATTTACCTCTTAAAATGCTGGAATTGTGATTGACACAGTGATGCAAAACTGCTATGTCATTTTCAGATTAAGAGTGTTGGTACCTGACAGTCTAAATCACAGTGCAGAATATCAGGAATGTCCATGATTTTGGAAAATGCTATAGTGTTCAGGTTAATGAGAACTACAATTTCATTCTGAACATCTTGTGTATGTATACAAATATGCATGCTTATAAATACTTGTGTTTTGAAAATGTTATATATGGATACATACAATCATGGTATACAAGGTGTACACATCTCTCTGTGGTTAAAATGAGGACTTCAGTGTGGAAGTCATTGGTAAGTTTATTTTTCTCTGTTCTAATTCTGATATTTTTATGTGTTCAAATTAGTCATTTTTGCCTTTTTATTATTACTAAAGCAGAAAGTCTGGAAAGGTTGTTTTTGGCTACGCTTGGGATCAGCAATTCAGGTTGTCTTTATTGAAATTTGAAAGCATTGTACTGTAGAACTGATGACGCTATGTGGGTTAAAACAGTAGATTTGGGAGAATTAACAAAACTGAATCAGATTGTTTGAAATGACAAATGTTAAAATTTTGTTGCATTTTTAACAAGTTACAAAATTCTAATAACTAATTAAAATTTAGAATAATCAAGATTTACCACACTCGGAGCTGACATTAGGTTAATTACTATTGATTACTAGTATCTCCAAGCTCTCCCTGAGCTTTTCACGCAGAACTAAAACTACACTTAACATTTCTGATCTAGAAAAACAGGGATTTTTTTAAAAATTAATCACGTATATTTTGCACTTATGATTTCATTTTTCCTCTTGGCAAAAGTAAAGACTAAGCTAGGAATAAGACCAATACTTATTTATGGACTTTTTTCTGTTCTTATTTCATATGTCAAATTGTCTCCATTGTAATTCTTAACTACTCAATTGTAGCACAGTTTGAAAGCCAGAGAAAAAATGTTATCAGGGTTTTCTTTTCCAGATCAAACATAAAATGATGTTTCAGTAAAAGTTCATCTTAACTATCTAATGTTCAGGAAAATGACTACCTGCAACTTGCCCAACCAATAAAACTAAGAACAAATGCGGCTTGAAAATTAGTTTACATAATAAGAGATTTTTACCCAGAATTAGAGTGATGTTTATAGTCAGTAAACATTCAGAGTACCTGTCCCTGCATTTGATTTTCATTTAAAAGGTCATTTATTATTTTACACACCAGAAATAGTAAAACGTTATTCCACTTTGTGAATAACATCAATATTTGAAGAACAAATATTTTTAGATAATATCATAGCTAGTTAAAAAAAGCTCCTTGCAAGGATAAGCTGGTTAAAGGTTAAAAGACTGCACTGTGCCTGTCAGAATTCTGGCTTCACACACATTGTATGATCAGCACTTCAGACAAAACACAAGTGACAAGCTCATAGAGTTAAACAAAATACTACCCATGCTAGATCCAATGCTGAAAAAATGGACAAATTAAGAAACTTAAAACTCCCTCAGAATTTTCTGAGTTTTTTGTTTAGTTTTTAACTGGGACTGATCTTACTAATACGTACATGTTCAACTCTATTCACATGCATTTCCTTTTCAGTTTGGCTGGACTGCTTATCTGAACAATGAAGGTTCCTACCTGTGTGTCTGCAGTGCCAGAGACAAAGGTTTCTGGGATTGATTTGTGTCAGTAGGGGAATCAGCCAGCCCCAACGTTTCTCTTTTTTCCCTGTCTGTATAATAAAGTTAGGAGCGTCGTTAGTGCTTCATGAATTTTCAGTCATCAGAGTCTGCAAAAGGCTCCAAGAGCTTCCAACAGAAAGAAGCAGCAGTACAGAGTCTACCTAGTCACTGCTAAGCTCACTGTCAATATACTGAAATAAACTTTGCCTTGAAACTGCAGAGGAAAACTCCTATTGCTTCAAATATATTCTCATTCCAGCTAGGTGAGAAAGATGGAGATGTCAAAGAACCATATCCTTTCCGCTACACAAGCCCAAGTAGGAGAAGTTCTGAAAGTATGTCAAGTATTTACGTAGCACAGAATGAAGATAAGTTGCCTTTTTCAGGTTGGACTTTGGAAACACTCTCTAGATTTTAGGAAAGACAAATCTGCATTCATGGATTTGCTCCTGCATCCCTAGCACTTACTATGTGATCTGGTAAAATTAGTGATTTCTCAAGCCATTGACTCTCCACACCAATCAGAAGTTCACTCTCTGGCTGGAGGTTCTGATGTTGCTTAACATTTGTTATTACTCCACTATTCTTAGGTGATGTTTTCTACAAGTAGTGTCAACCAAATATTACTAATATTAGCACTATAATTATAACTACATTTTGGTTATGCCTGCTATAGACCATTCTTCCCTTCCAAAGTAAAAGCATGCCAGGTAAGAATTACTGTATGCTTTGATACAACTTCTAGTTCGTGAAGTGCAAATGACTTACAGGGAGAGAATCGAGTGACAATGTCACCTTACAAGCTGTACAAGCTTGTAATATGGTACAAGCCGTACCATAGATACTACTATTATAGAGAGGGCACAGTACAAGCTCTTTCCTTATCCTCATATATTTTATTCATTTCATTCATGCTTTTGGTTCAGATAAAGAGAGGTTACTTGCAGATACAGTGTAATATGGTTGGAAATGCTACCATGCATTCATATTTCATTGACATTACTTCTAATCACTGCTAAGCACTTGCACTCCAGAAGAAGTGCAGAGTCAGACAAAGTGTGACACACAGAGATTCTTCTCTGTCTTTCAGTACATTTCATCTAGCCTAAAGAAGTTGACTGCTTATCTTCATAATGCATTTTCATGTCCTACTACAGTAAGACTAAGCTTTTCTTGGCTTGCCTATAAATGGATACATGTAATTTTTTTATTGGGTGATAATTTGAATCTGGTCACTGACTACCAAGACTATATTTTTGAGTTATAGAAGTGACTTAAGCTAACCTTGTGCAATAGAAAATTAAGAATCCATTTTTCTCTTATACTATATGTTTTACACAGGAATGTATTTATAAAAATACTATGCAATATATTGATCAATACATAGACACTGCCACTGCTGCTTATTCTGAAAACAGAATTTCTTTATTTCCCATTTCAAATGAGTAATTAAAGAATAAGAAATGGTATTTCCAAAATTGGATCCATATTACAAAAGAGAATCCAATAACCATGAAAATTTAGTAATAGCAAGGCCAGCCTAGGAATAACCTAACTAGAAGCAAAAAGATATTCAATTTTTTTGGCCATGATTGTTTGAAATGAAAAATCTACGCCATAGTGAACTGATAGCTTCTGATCACAAATCTCAAATCTCACTGCTAGCATGAAGTGGACATAGATCATATTTACAGTTACTTAAAAACTTTACATTGCTAGACTCCCTACTGCATACACTGCAGACACTTCAGTGGTCACTTCTCACTTCAATAAGGCAGCCACTGGCAAACACAACACAGTGTTTACTACAGCAAATAAATCTGCTTGTAAGCATGATTCCTGTCTTGTTTAAATGTCATTTTAACACAGTAGGTTAGTAGGCTCTATGTAGAATGGGAGAGAATAAAGATGCTCCTGACAGCAGCTGAGATGAAATGAAGGTCAAACTGCCTA